ATCAGGTACTGGGCCCCGTGGAGCGAGCTCACCAGGTGATGCGCGAGACGACGGAGCTCTGGTTCGAGGAGACCGGCCTAGAGCGCACCATCGAGAACCTGAAGACAGCACTGGACTATGTGCCCAACCAGATCAACAGGATGATGCACCACAAGGGCTACAGTCCAGCACAGTGGGTCTTGGGCTACAACCCCGAGCTGAACGACTCCCTGTCCACAGATACTCTACACACGCCAGCAGCGGAGGCCTACCTGGAGGAGGAGACCTTCCAGGAGGCGATGCAGCGGCGCGCGGCCGCAGCTACGGCATTCATCAAGGCGGACTCGACGGAGAGGCTTCGCAGGGCCTTCCTGCGGAAGCGACGTGACAAAACACCACTCGGTCAACGTGGGCGAGGAGTGCTACTACTGGCGCGATCGCGGGGCCAGCAGGCTCCAGAAGTCACGCTGGAGGGGGCCGGCTACCGTGGCGTTGCGCGAGGACTCAGAGAGTGGCCAGCCCAAGGTCTACTGAGTTACGCATGGCGGGAGTCTTCTACGCTGCAGCCCAAACCAAATCAGACCCATCGTGGAGCGGATCGGCGAGCGGAAGCGACCGGCAAACCTACAGGCAGCACAGACCGCCTTGCAAGGGTTACGACGTGGAGGTATTGTGCAGTTCTTCGACATCAGCCAGCTGCCTGGTCCCAGCGAGGAGGACCGCTCGAGCGAGCCGATGGAGGAGGACGAACCAACCCCAACCACTGGGAGTGCGCCGACGGTGGAGCAGGCCATGGCGGATCAACTCAGACAGGTATCGGCGCAGGGCTCAGAGCCCCAAGCGGAGCCCAGGCCTGCCAGCCACGAGGAGCCTACAACGACGGCCGCCAACCAGGCCATTCCAGATGACGACGAGGCCGATCTACTCCCACGACCAGAACAGCAAGAAGCACCAGCAGATCAACCACAACCAGCTGAGCTACCAGATCAACAGGTGACCGACGCGAGAGCAAGGTCCAAGGAGATGCGACGGAGCCAGGACGCCTCGGAGATGGCACCACTACGTACGTTCTCATCCCAGCGAGACCGACAGAGAAGCGTCAGTCGGTCGGGCCCCTATGACAAAGTGGAGATCGCAGAGGACGTGATGTTCATGCGCGTGGAGGTCCTACACAAGGGCTGGAACTACGACGCAGCCACCATGGCGTTCAACCTGGACTTTGAGGAGTGCTACGCGGCTGGCGAGCTGAGCGAGGGGAACATGAACGCGGAGGACAAGGCCAAGTTTGCGGAGGCGAAGCGCGCGGAGCTCCAGAGCTTCTTTGACAACCAGGTCTGGGAGCAGGACAAGAAGGAGGTAGAGGACCCCAAGAAGGTTCTGCGTGCTAGGTTCCTGCTGAAGTGGTCGAGGAACGCTGACGGAAGCCACCGAGCCAAGGCGCGGCCGGTGATCCAAGGGTTTCGCGATCCAGACGCCATCGCGGGGACCCTGGCCAAGTCTTCTCCGACGATGACGAGATTGAGCAGGACGTTCATCGTGCTCCTGAGTCGCATGCATGGTTGGATTCTGTTCACGGCGGACGTGAGCACCGCATTCCTGCAGGGCAAGCGCTCGGATCGTGGCATCTCTGTACTCTTGCCATCCGAGGCCTGCAAGATGCTCGGGTACCAACCTGGAACACGGATGAAGTTGCTCAAGAGCATGTGCGGCTTGAGCGACGCGCCGAGACTTTGGTGGGAGGAGGCCACGGACCGCATGATCGGGCGCGGCTTTGTGGTTCACCCGCTGGACCCCTGCCTGTTCCTGAGCTACCGGCTGGACGAGACGAACGTGAAGGTGTTCGACGGCGCTATCGGCCTACATATGGACGACATGCTAGGAGGCGGCAGCAACAAGGAGGGCCAGGCGTGCTTTTCGGCGCGCGTCCAGGAGCTCAAGAAGGTTTTGAACTTCCGGACGTGGGATGACACCGAGACTGGCACTTTGAACGTGGCCGGCGACTCGTCCATGGATTTCTGCGGCAACCAGCTCACCAAGGCTACAAACGGAGATTATCAGATGAGCTGCGAGACCTAAATCAAGGGACTCAAGCCGATCACGATGACCAAGAGCAGGGCCAGCGACCACAAGTTGGCCATCACAGAGGGCGAGCGACGACAAGAGGACTTATGGGCAGTTTGGCGTGGCCCAGCAACCAGGCGGCACCCCACTTGCAGTGCAGCGTGAGCCTCGGACAAGGTACAATTAACGAGAGCTCCACCGTGCAGGATTTAGTGGAGGCCAACAAGACGCTGAGGTTCGCCAAGGGCAACAGCGACGTGTGCCAGTTGTTTCCCAAGATATGCGACGACCCCAACGAGGTGGCGTTTATTTGTATGACGGACGCAGCATGGGCAGTACGACGTGATGGAAGCTCGCAGGGAGGCTACCTCATCCTGGCAGCGCACAGGAGTGTGCTGAGAGGCGAGACGGTCAAGTACACCGTGGTCGACTGGCGATCGTGGAAACTACCAAGGGTGAGCAGGTCCTCATTGGCGAGTGAAGCCCAAGCTGCAGCAGGAGGAGTGGACGCACTCGAGTATGTGAAGGTGCACTACAGCCTGATGCTCGACCCGACGAGGGACCCGAGGCTCAACGGCACCATGACGGTGCTGGGCAGGAGTGCAAAGGTGGTGGACGCCAAGGCGCTGTATGACGCGGCCCAGAAGCCACACGTGCACAACTTCGACGACAAGCGGACGGGCATCGAGGTGCAGGTGCTCAAAGAGCGTATGACGGCAAGCGCGACGGGCTGGTACTGGGTCAGCTCGGAGCGCCAGTTCGCGGACGGCTTCACCAAGCTGTCGGCGCGGCAACTACTGGCAGACAGGCTGCGCACTGGGACGATCAGCCTGAAGTTCGATGAGAAGTTCCAGGCAGCCAAGAAGAAGACCGTCAAGGACCGACAGGAGGAAGCCAAGAGGTTCGCCACACCAAGACCGAAGGTAAGCACAATGACGGCGATGGCGACCATGGCACCCATGACGACAGCAGCCAGCAGCGAGGTGGAGATCTACGACGCAAGGGCGACGGCAGTGATGGAGCTCGAGTGGACCATGTCACCGCAAGTGGTGATCAGGATTCCCCTCGGCACGTTCATCAAAGGAATCATGACGGCCATCCTGATGATCGTGGGCCTATTCACAGTATGCTACATGACGTACAACAAATGGTCCGAGAAGGAGACGAACGCGACCCATCCAGAGCCAAGCCCCGAGCAGGCAGAAGGAAAGACAAAGCATAAGCGTGAGCAGAAGGTGAAGATCAGCAGTATCAAGTGGAACGTTGGAGTTCAAGGGCCCGTGCACTACTCATCTGTGGGCCAGACCGACGGAGTTTACGGACGATATGTTCATGCTACGCAGGGTTTCTCCCGAGGCTGGGAAGTGACGAAAGAGATGGTGGAATCCCGTGCTGGCCTGAAGGGCCAAAGTGAGTGAACCCCGGCAAAACACGTTTTGCATCCTGTTCTTGTCTCTTAGTTTCCTCCCTCTTCCCCCCCCTCGCAATGAAGCTATCCTTTTGAGAGGTTGATTGCGACAATCGACCGGCGCATTTCTCTCGGGAGTGTGTTTACAGCAGGCAATGTAACGACGAGCAGCTGCGAAGGATTTTTCTTTCATGAGATAAAGGTGAGTGTTTAATCAGTTTTCTTTCCCTTTTTCACCAGTGTGAATTGTACTCCATACAATGCAGTTGCGAGTGTATTTCAGAGGTTTTCTGACATAAGATGTTAGATACTACCCTCCCCAGCAGGCATGGCAGAGCATGTGTACAGCACGCAGTGCAGAGCAGCAGTCATGACAGCAAGCACCATTGCCATCTTAAGCTCGAGAGGCCTCTCGGCAGACCAAAAGGTTACCATCACTTCTCCCCGCCCGCAGAGCGAGATCGGGGATAGTGTCGAGGACGTTTCGGCCGAGGACGGGAAACGGATTTCGAGAGAGAGTTTGACGACTTCGAGAGCGTCGAGCAGTTGACACCTCCTCCTCCTCCTCCCCCTCCCTCCCCTTCCTCCACTCCGTTTCCTTATAAACAACATTTTCCTGTCGCACCCCAAAGCTAGTTTTCAGGGCGGACCGGGAGGTTCGCTGGACACTTCCTATCCCCTGATGACTCTGAAGTCCAAACATGGGCAACAATTTCACCGATGGAGGGCGGGTCGTTTTCAAAATGTGGGTCGCGCCTTAGAGCCACGCACATTCGTTTTAAAACTTCGCAAGAGCTTCGCGGATTGAGGAGCAGCCGTTTTCAACATGTGGCTCTCGCATTAACGCCGCGCACATTCGTTTCAACCATTTCCAAATACTTCACGGATTGATGATTATCCGTTTTCAAAACGAGGCTCTCGCCTTAGCGCCGCACACACTCGTTCTAAACATTGTGCAAGAGCTTCACGGGTTGAGGGTGGTCCTTCTTCAACATGTGGCTCTCGCCCTAGCGCCGCGAAAATTCGTCCATAACATTTGCAAGAGTTCCACTGGTTCCCAAGATCAACGTACCAGAAATTGTGTTTTGGAAAGGTTCGGGATTTTGCGGGTGCAACAGTTACGTTGATTCGCGGTATTGACCTCCCAAGAATGGATCGTCAAGACGCAACAATCAGGTTGATCCGCGGCGTTCGAATCCCGAGACCAATGCTTTGGCATGACACCGGATCTTGAAACGGTTGTCTTCCAACGAGACCGATCCCCCAAAGGAAATGAACCGCTGTAGGGGCCTAGGAAGAGGGAGCTTGGAGGGCGGGTGTATTCCAGCATGATTGATGGCTCTTGGGATTACACTGGTCCTCCTCCTCCTCCTTTCCTCTTCCTCCTCCTCGTCCTCGGCCTCGTCCTCCTCCTCCTCCTCCTCCTCGTCCGCCTCCTCCTCCGCCTCCTCCTCCTTTTCTTCTTCCTCCTCCTCCTCCTCCTCCTTTCCCAGCTCCCACTCCCCCCCATCACTCCCCCGCGTGTCCCCAATGTTCCCCGCCCCTTCCCCGCCAGTACTCCGACAGGTCTTCCACGGCTACGGGTTTGCGGGAGTCCCTGTCCTCCACCTGCGCGGGCGGGCGGGCTCTCCACCAATGCCTTCGACTCCGCGTGCGAACAAGGTGAGGGGGAGGGAGGGAAGGGGGAAAAGGACGAAGCGAAGACCCGGAGGGAGGGAGGGCACGGGGACTCGGGGAGGGGGGGCGGAGGGGGGAAAACTAACACAATTAAATCCCTGAGCCTCCTCACACAAGGATGACCAGATGCAAGGTGGATAGCTCGACAAATGTGATACTGTGAATCCTTGCGCGTGAATTGCCCGAAACTGTCGAGGGAAGAAACAAGCGTCTCTGAACGTTCCTGGTGTTGTTCTGCGTCGTGGCATGAAGAACCCCAGTGGGGGCGATTCGTCACTATCCTGATGTTACTCGTCGTCACAATCATCGTCGTCCTCCTCGCGGCGAACAACCTCATGCACGTTTCTCTCAGGACGCCTGTCCTTCACGGTGGCACTCGCCAAGGCCAAGACCTCCTCTTCCCCCCCTTCCACAACCGACTCGCGAAACTTTCCTGGGTTGAGTTCCCGCCCGAATTTGAAGGTGAAGTCAGCCGTGGCGACGGGAGCCCCCCCAGAAATCAAGAGAAGCCAAGAAACACGCAAACCCTCTATCCTCAGGCCTCCCATTTCATAAGAGAACTAATCGTGCGCTTGGGAGGTCCGCCCGGGATGTTTAGGTCGGCGCTGGACGTCTCTCCCCGGAGTAGGTCCGGGGCGGCAACAGATGCATGTGCGTGCCGCTTTCCCCCAAACATCTGGCACTTCGGCTTCTTCGATACGCGACCCTTTGGACTTATCCTCCCTCTCCACAAACCTGGTTGTTCATTGACACAGCCGAAGCCCGAGACTGGCCTCCATAAGTCAAACAGCGGCAACATACCACCACCACCACACATGCCGCACATCGAGCAGGACGTGTTGGCACGGTCACCGTTCAGGGTCACCAGAAGGGAACATATGAAAATGAATATCTCAATGCACCACAAATTTCGCGTTGGAAAACAAGAGGGGGATGAGAGAACAGTCTATCTCAGAAGGTGGTTCAGATATGCTGGCAGAGTTGTTTGCACACTTCTAAAGCCGATTGCTGTCTCGGTCGGCCGCGACGCCGGTGTTCCACCCAAGCGTTTGGCGTGCCATCTGGATGGCATGCCATGTGAAGGTACAAGTCCGCTTGTCTGCCAAGTGATACTTGGGAAAGGGGGTTCGGCGCGGGCCCTGGCTAGAACGCATGTGTTTCTCACTCTTGAAATAAACGAAGGCAGCGCACCAACAAAAACTCGCAGTAAACACCTGCTGTGGGAACCATGGGTTCTGCGTCGGTCAGCTTGCAATAGCCAAAGAGACCCGAGCGAATACAATAGCTTACCCAGGAAACAGCTGTCGTATACTTTGCATTTTCTCTGCCGTCCCACTCGCTGTGCGTGATCACATCTCGCGAGCGGCTTGAAGAAGGCGCTGTGTTTCGCTTCGGCGCCTGGTAACCTCCGGGAGCGCATTGCCATCGGAGCTAGGCGTGCCGCCCAGATGCACGACTTCCCGGGCAATTCTGGTAGGACTTCCATCTGGGCGTACTACCGCGGCGTTCGTCGAGATATGCGTTTACACCCTTTTGTCAACATGCAGCTCAAGTTCGTATGTCTGCCTTTCAGCAGCAATCGCCTTCAACATGTTTTGCATATCAGCTTGAGTGCGTGAAGCCAGCCATGTGTCACCTGCGTACAGCATGTCTCGTTTTACTACGTAATCGGGCCCCGAATCAAAATCAATATTGTGAGACGAATCGTAAAGCATAAATGGCAACAGAACAATGAAACACCAAAAGGAACAAGGACATATTTGAGCGATATCGGCAATTTGCCGTCGCTCATTTGACTTCCCAGTGTGGTCTAGAATGGTGAAGCAACGCTCGGCATAGATAGCTTTGATCACGTCCACCACTTCTGAAAGAAACCCAAATCGTCGCAGAGCGTCGCACATACTTTCCGTCTTGAGCTGTCAAATGTCTTGGCCCAGCCAGGCAACAATAAGATGAGGCCACCGTGCTTGTTTGCATGTGCGGCGTCGGTCATACGACGGACGAACATGAGCACGGCTGCGGTCCCGCGCCTGGGGCGGAACAGAAACATTGGGATTATCGCATGCGGGTCTAAGAACCGCCGCGAATATGACGCTGATGAAACATATGGGCAGGATGATGATACCCGACTTACAACAGGGAAGCGGGCCTGTAGTTCTCCAGCAAAGCGATGTCGCCTTGTTTGAATAAAAGAACCACGTTTGCACTCCTCCAAGAGTCAGGAATTGCTTTCACTTCCCAGCATGTCTGACATACACGAAGCACAATGGCAGATGCGTCCTGGTGCGCACCCAAAATTGTCCAAATGTTTGGGGCGATATCGTCGGTCCAAGCAACTCTGCCAATACGTAGCGGGCGCAACACATCGGTCAATTCTGTCATGGTAAATGTGTCTGAATCGTTCGGCAACTGTTGCCCTATGGGCGCAACGCACGCGCTTCTGGAGTCAGCTATGGAAACCGGACTTGCCATTGCACGTCTTCGAAATCATCTGCCGATGCCTCTGGCCGATCAGCTGTGTCCACGAGTGATCCATCGGGCCGCTTCACCGTCGCATGCTTCGTGGTGGGCAATTTTTTCTCAAATGGCGCACCGCTTCCCAACCACAATTTGCCAATGACATGTCCAACCACTATTTGCGATCTTGCGCTCCTAATTTCTGGATAGATTTATGCAACCGTGTTTGGTCATTGTGGTCCCTGGCTGTAGGTGCATTTTTTTTATTCGATTAGATCGAGCGTGCGCTGGCTTGTCCACGCCTGCTTTGGACTCGACTCCCGTTTGGGCACTTTCGGAGGATTTGTCGACTCCGTGTGGAACCCACTTGTTCGAAACATCTACAGAATCAGTCTCATCACCCATCAAACTCCAAACGGCCTCGACAAATGATGATGTGAATCGATTTTTGATTTGAGAATATTTCAGGCTGACCTTGTCCACGTGCTTTTTCTTGGAAGTGTCCTTGGACTGGAAGGCCACATTTGTAACCACATTGGTAACGTAATGGTGTGTTAAGCACTTCCCGCGGGCTCGTCCACGTATCATGTAAGGTGTGTAAAACACTGCGGTGGCAGACCACATGGTCTATCCGAGCGAACTTATGCCCAGAAATGTCACTGTCTGAAGGGTCGACGCCAGAAATCTTTGTAAGAAACTGTCATGTCTCTCGCATGGTCGAGAAATTCGTCTGCAACCAATGAATCGCAAGACGTACACCACTACACTAAGAGGTGCCTGTTTGAAATTGTATTCTACAAATTGTATTCGGCAACAATCCAGCCACCCGAAATTTGATTTGGAGCGCCAGATGTACGTGCGCTGCCCTTCCAGAGCGTCCTAACCTGAGGGGCAACGGGGCAACGCTAGGTTTAGATCTGGAATGTCCTCCTACATGCGGATGCAGGAAGACGAATGAACAATAGTTGTTGTTTTGTATTTTTGAAACAAAAAAAACAAAACATCGTCCGCATACTTTGGTTTGCCCGACTTAGCGCTAGGGGAGGGTACTGGCTTAGGGAGGGCAGCATCGAGCTGGAACTGGCGACACACCGCCGATAAATCGACGACACCCCCGACTGCAAATCCGCGCGCTTCTGGGAGAGTCGAGCTATTGGGCTCCTATCTGCGACGAGTGGGCGATGGGGGGGTCGATGCATCTCCTCCTCCTGGAGACTGACTCCCCCCCTGAAACGCTACCCTCGAAGTGTAAGAAGAAGAAACAAGTGAATAAACGTATGCTTCCAGCGGTCCGATCTCCGGTCGGACTTCCTTGGATCTGCTCCGGCCCCCCCCCTGGCACGCGGAGCGCGCCAGGGGCGGCGCTGGAGGCGCCGCCAGGGGGGCCGGCGCCGATCCAGTAGGTCCGCGCGGAGGTCCGCGAGATGGTGCTCATGCCGCTCTTGCCCTTCTCCGAGGAACTGCCCCCCTTTGAGCACAACCCCTCGCACGTAGGTGACCCCCTTGTCGGCCGGCAGGTTCTCCTGCAGCTTCCTCGGAGGCAGGAGCCGGGCCCCCCGCCCGCCCCGCCCCGCCCCGCCCGGCACTGTGCAGGCCGCCCCCTCTGCCGCCGCAATCCCCCGCCGCCGCATGCGGCGTGGCCCCCCTCTGCCGCCGCCGCGCCGTGCCTGGGCGCAAGCGGGAGTCGAGAACCCAGGCACACAGGTACGGGGGCATGTGCCCCTCCGGATCCGCGGCGCAGGGCCGGAGCTAAACGGTGCTTTTCGTTCTGCACTCGTCTGCCTTCGCCCTGCCTTCGCTTCGAAACGAAAGCAACACGAAGACGGTCCACGAACTCGCCAAACCACCGTGGAGCTCGAGCCCGGATCCACGGCAGAGGCCCAGGAGCGGGCGACAATCACTGCGCCGTACCTCGGCGCAGGCGGGGATCGAAGACCCAGGCACGGATACCACCGGAAACGGGGGAGAGGCCCCAAGGGCGGGCGCCTGGCGCACTTTGCACGGTGGCCCTCCGAAGGGGCCGGTGGCAACTGCTCCGAAGAGAACGTCAGTGAGAAACTGTTGCGGAACGTCCCCAGTCAAGATTTATGGAAGTTCTCTGCCCCTTTTGGGCTTCCAAGCGCCTTCGGAGACCTCTGCGCGCGTTTCGGAACTAATTTGCAACTTATCCAGCTTTGTGGCTCTAGAGGCCTCTGGAAGCTTCCGGGACCTAGGTCATCTGACGTCGCGCTTCGCGCCGCCCGAAGCGATATTATCTTCGCTCTCTGGCACCGCCCCTTGAAAAGGACAATCTCCAGCCCAGGCTTCGAAGCACAAGGCCGCTGTTATCTTCCCGCCACTTCAGATGACTCAGTGTTGCCTCCGTGTGGACAGCTTCGGGAACCATGAACCCGAACATGTTGGCATATCTCATAATCATCATTATCGCCCCCCTCACCTGCGTCCGCGCCGCCTCCTGAAGCAAACGCAGAACTGGCGGCCACCGTGCGCATGCTCATCAGACCAGGGCGACCGCTGCGAAACATGATCCCCCTCCCTGTGCCGTCGCTAATGTTGCTAGTCATGCATCTCCCCTTCCTCCTCCTTCTACCCCTCCTCCCCTCCTCCATCCTCCATCCTCCTCCTCCTTCAGTTCCCGATTCACTTATACCAGAAAATCCTCAGGAGTATCCTCCTAAAACTCCTCGGCATCCTCGATCCAGTCCCCCACGTCGGTGTCTTCCACCTGCTGTCGCTCTGTTCTTCATCGTCGTCATCATCATCACCATCATCAGTCCCTTCCACTTCATCACATCATCATCATCATCGTCATCATCATCATCATCATCATCATCATCATCATCGTCATCATCATCAGCCTAATCATCATCAGCTTCATCATGTTCACCAAAAAAATATAATCGTCGTCATCGTCATCATTACCAGACCCAGCATCGTCGTCATCATCACCATTATCGCCACCATCAACAGCAACATCATCAATATCGTCATCGCCATCATCGTCCTCGTCCTGCTTTGTCGCCGCTCATCGTCCTCCTGATCATCACTATCGTCTCTTCTCGTCCTCATCCTCCCCCGAGATCTCCCCCTCCTAGTCTCCCTCCCCGTACTCATCCGCATTCTCCCACCTATTCACCTCGGCCTTCACTGCTCCCTTCTCCTGCTCCTCCTCCTCCTCCTCCTCATCATCATCGTCGTCATCATCGTCATCAGTTTCAGCATCATCATCATCACCATCCTCCACACCATCATCAACATCAATATCACCATCATCACATCATCAATGTCACCATCATCACCACCATCACCATGACCACCACCACCACCATCATCATCATCATCATCATCATCATCATCATCATCATCATCGCCATCGAATTACTGATCACGATCCTCATCATCATCGCCATCATCCTCCTCATCATCGTCACTACCACCATCACGGCCACCTTCATGAGCATTATCATCATCAGCAGCAGCATCATCATCAGCAGCATCATCACCATCAGCATCAACATCAACATCATCATCATCGTCATCTCCATCGTCATCCTCATCACAAATAACCATCATCATCAACATAGCCACTGCCATCGTCACCACCATCATCGTCACCATCACCATCATCATCATCATCATCATCATCATCATCATCATCAACACGATAACCATCCGAGTCACCACCGCCACCATCATCGGCAGCAACATCACCAACACCAACATCATTAACATCATCATCACCATGAATCACCCTAGCCCCGAACCCGTCTTCCGCACCTTCGCTTCTCCAATCCCCCCTTTCCCCCCGTCCGCCCGCGGCCCACCCCAGGGCGCTCCTGGCAGCCTCCGCATCGAAGAACTCCTCTACGCGGATGGGAGGATGGGGGGAAGGAGGAGGAGCGAGCGAAGGCACCACCACTGCAGGCAAACGTCCGAGCCTAGCAAGAACCAGGTGGATGAGGCCGTGGCCTCTGGATACTGCTAGCTGCTGTCTCGCAAGACAAACAACGCGTTGTTAAAATATGGGGAACGGGAAAAAACAACGGGGCCCTGTCCTGGATGCCGGATCTGACGAATCGGTGGCCGGAATGCTGGTCACTGGCCCGTGAGACATTGGCGCGTGTGTCGCCGCTGTTGCGCGCGAGAATTGCGAAGAGAGGAGGAGGAAGGGGAGGAGGAAGGGGAATAATCCGCCGACCCCTTGGGGATCATCGGCGTGTGAGATGCTTCCCCCTCCCCAAACCCCTCCCCCGGGAGCCCGGTCCGGTCGATTTGGAGGGGGGGGGGGTCCGGGACGAGCGCAGCACGGCCGGGACGAGCGCAGCACGGCCGGGACGAGCGCAGCACGGCCGGGACGAGCGGTTCACGGGGCTTTTCCGGGCCCAAGAGGGCCTCAAGACGGGCCAAGAAGCCCCCAAGAGGCCTCCAAGACGGCCCACGAAGGCCCCGAGACGCCAAACGACCGCTCCAAGACGCCCAAGATGGCCCCAAGACGGGCCAAGAGGTCTCCAAGACGGCCCCCGAGGTCCCAAACAAGCCTCCCAAGAAGACCCCAAGAGTCTAAAATTGTTGATTTTCCATTGTGTTTTTCTATGTTTTTTGCTTTTCCGCCTTTTCGGCTTCCCGACGCTCCAAGGCGGCCAAAGAGGCCCCCAAGAAAGCCCCAAGATGGCCCAAGAGGCCCCCAAGACGGCCTCCAGACGGCCCAAGACGGCCCCAACACGGCCCAAGAGGGCTCCAAGACGGCACCAAGAGGGGCCCAAGAGGGCGACCAAACATGTTGAAACTCTAGCTTTCTGCCCCCAGGAGCCCCAGGGAGCCCCAAGAGTGCCCCAAGAGGCCCCCAGAGGCCCTCACGAGGCCGCCCAGACGCCCCAAGGAACCCCCAAGAAGCACCCCAGAGGCTCCGAAACGGCCCCCAAGTGGCTCCAAAACTCGCTTTTCACCCCTTCGCAGCTTCTACTACCCCCAGATTGGCATAAACAAGGGGTCGGCGGTGTGGCGTAAGCCTAAGAATAATAAATTATCCCGGCAAAGCAACCTAACAGCGATGTGTAGAAGCATATCTGAAAGCATTCCCCTTAAGATTCAGATGAAAATCCAGTTGTAGAATTCTGCTGTTCTCGCAGTCGTAGTCGCATTCGCGATGACAGTCGCAGCGGCAACGGCAGTCGCAGTCACAGCCTCAGCCTCAGCCTGCCTCAGCCTCAGCCTCAGCCTGCCTCAGCCTCAGCCTGCCTCAGCCTCAGCCTCAGCCTGCTTCAGCCTCAGCCTCAGTCTGCCTTCAGCCTCGGCCTCAGCCTCAGCCTGCCTCAGCCTCAGCCTGCATCAGCCTCAGCCTCAGCCTGCCTCAGCATCAGCCTGCCTCAGCCTCAGCCTCAGCCTGCCTCAGCCTCAGCCTCAGTCTGCTTCAGCCTCAGCCTCAGTCTGCCTTCAGCCTCGGCCTCAGCCTCAGCCTGCCTCAGCCTCAGCCTGCCTCGGCCGCAGCATCAGCCTGCCTCAGCATTCAAAATGTGGCCCAGGAATGGAGTTCTGGGAACTAGAAGAACACGAAGTGGCCTACAGTTGGCTCCGGGCATTCAAAATCATGCCCAGGAATGGAGTTCTGGGAACTTGAAGAGCACGAAGTGGCCTACAGTTGGCTCCGGGCATTCAAAATGTGGCCCGGGAATGGAGTTCTGGGAACTCGAAGAGCACGAAGTGGCCTACAGTTGGCTCCGGGCATCCAAAATGTGGCCCGGGAATGGAGTTCTGGGGTGTCAAGTACGAGGAATTGTGTGACTGTTGCGTCCGGCTATTCCGAATGTGGCCCGGGAATGGCGTTCTGGGAGGTCAAGGAGCACCAAGTGTGTGACTGTTGCATCCGGTTATTCAGAATGTGGCCTGGGAATGGGGTTCTGAGAGGTCGACGAGCACGAAGTGTGTGACTGTTGGTGAAAAACGAGCCCGGCACAGGCCCGGCCGGCAACTCCCAACGCCTGCCCGGACCCCCCTGTGGAGTGATCTGTGAGCTCTTTTGAGTCAACTAGAAACCTATCAGTCTACGCTGTTAGGTAATAATAATATTTTTTTTTTTTTTTTTTTTAAAAAAAAGCCTAACCCAGGTGCTTTAGGGGTTGTCCGCCACCGTGCCCTTCAGGGACGAGTTTGGATGTCATCACGTCCTTTGTTGGACGCCTTGAAATCTTAATGATCAATCCTGCGGATTCTTTAAGAGGGGGAGTGGGCCCAAAATGTAAAACTTTTCTGGGGCGCGCTGCGGGTCCCCTGGGGCCCCGGGCCTCTCCCAGCGTAAACCTTTCGGGCCCACGAGTGCCCCGAGACCGACCAAGAGGGACCTAAAAGGCCCCAAGGACGGTCCAAGAGGGCCACGAATCCCCGCGCGATCAGTCCAAGGCGCCCGCGGTGGCCCCGAGACAGCCCAAGATGCCCCCCAAACACCACAAATGGCCTCTAAAAGGCCTCCCGAAATGACCCCCAAAAGCAAAACTCTGGTATTGATTTTGGGTGTCTGAAAGATTTTGGCGTTCTCACCCTTCGGCTTCCCGATGCTCTAGGAGGGCCCCAGAAGTGAAACGCATGGGTCAGGAGGGTGTAAGCCGAGACCCTGCTTAGGATGCCGTCGCAGACGTATCGTTGTATCATATAGCAGCTTCTCCCATCCTGATGGGCAAGACGAGAGATACGGGGCAAGTCGTGAGAGATGATGAACCATCCGTGAATGTGTTTGTTTCTCCAACGCTCAAGTTTGATAGTGCCTCGAAGGCGCGAGACAGTCAAATAGGGCAACGCGACCTTGAGCCAGGTAGCGCCGGACGTAGGCGCGACGTTCGTTATACTTGCCAGCCTTTGTCTTGATTCAAATCAGGAGGGGAGGGCCCGAACGTCGAGCCATGTCCAATAATATATCACAACAAACGAATAAAATAGGTTCATCGTTGTTCGACGACCCAAACAGCACAGAACCAAGGCAATAAGAAGGCATAATCGAATATCCGGGTCGGTCATAGGCAAAGACGCGCGACCGTTCTCATACAACTAAGAGGACGTCTGGCCAAACTGTCAGTCGTCAAAGCGCGCGGCGAAACAAAAGGATGCCTGACCAGGCTGTCAGGCATTTGAGCTTAGCAAAAATAGCCCGTACCCGGGGTATTCCTCGTGTCCGACTGCGCGCTGGTTATGGTTTAGCCAACCGCACACAGCATCCGCTAGCACTAGATGAGGCATGGCTATGTTTGTGCTGCTCCGTTGCCCCTGTACGGCGTCAATATCTCACGACCAATTCAACCTTTGGTATTACCATCCGCTGTCATATCCCGTGTATCACACCCCATGTACGCTATGAGCGACATGTTGGATCCAGATGATATGTCCTGGCAAAGTGCATCCGGTTGGCTTATTTATGTCCTTGCTTGATAGAGACTTGAAGACCGACGCGGCGTCCATGGTAAGGATCGCTCGTACGCTCGTACGCTCAGACCAGCGATCTTTAAGATGCTATTGTTTTGCGTTGGCGTCGACGGTCCAGCCTTGAGCTCGTGTCGCGTCACGCTGGTAGGGTAGCAGTCTTCTAAGCTACGGACTGCCTCTAAAGTGTCTGCTGACTAGCTGGAACGCACCTGCAAGCGGCGCGCCTTGCAGCGCGCGTCGACCACATGTACTACTTCCTAACCGTTGCGCACGCGTCCGCGCAGCGATGATGTTGGCCCCTCGGATGCCATGCCCTATCGACTTCGTCATCGGCCTCACCGTTGAGGCGACAATAACCGGAATCACTTCGTAGGTCAACTTCTCTTGTCGGGACTATAAATTGGCGTGTCATTTCCATTGGCCCTGTTGCAGTTTGCGCGTCGCGGCAATGAGTCATCGCGCCCATCGGCTGGCGGGTTCTCGGACGCGTTGGAGCGGGGCCGCATATGCCATCAACCGCGCCTGCGTGATCAATGCATATACCGTCGCACCACGTAGGCCGAATAGCATGTCCGACATTGTCTTCGTCGCCTTATCTCCTGCTTTAGCGCCAGTAATTTCTGGGTGCTGTGCGGGGCGAAGTTGTTTGATGGACTCACCCTGATCTAGTAGGACGTGGCCGTCCTCCGTGCCGGCGGAGAGAACGGTGCAATAGTGCAGCTGGTTTTGACTGTTGAGTACATATGCTGAACGCGCTTTCTACACGCTTGACGTGCTTGTCAACCGCGCCATCAACTCCTGCTATATTGATGTCGTCAAAGAGCCTGGCTGCTGGGAGATTTGGACTTGTCTCGAACTCCCCATCATACGTAGTAGGCTCAAACCCGAAACCTCTCGCGATGGTTCCGCGTTTCAGTGAGACTGCCCGAGGGGCATCCTTGGCGCCCGTGCCTGGCTCCAAAAACCGCCAGCAACCCTCTGGTCCGCCATGGGGCGCGATGCCCGGCAACGCTCGCAACGCCGATGCTGAACCAGGCGGGGGGGGGGGGGGGACAGAGCAGACGGCGCGCTCCTTCTGTCCAGTGGCCTCGGCCAACTCACGATGCGACAGTAATTTCGAGAAAAGTTTGTCGCCGCCCATGGACGATGATCCAGCACTTCTCGCGCGCGGCCGCGCGCGCGAGCAATCTCTGACTTGCTCGGCGAGCTGCGCCTGAGAAGGTTTCTACATCGTACGCTTCGACATACATGGAACCGCGATGGGCCCGCCGAAGTTCGCTCCATCTCGCCATATCTATTCTTCGCGACTTTCCATGCGCACGCAGATCTAGATGTCATAATGCCAGCGGCATTCTTAATATCCTGCGTCTTGAGTCAGTTGAAGCTCTGCGTGAACGGGGGTTGAATATCCTGGCCGTATTCGACTGTATTACGGCTTTCGCCAGGCGGCCG